ATAGATAGATAGATAGATAGATAGATAGATAGATAGATATTTGTGCTGATAAGCCTGAGTGGTCTGTTGACTGACCTTTATTGTTCAAATAATTGTTATGGGCAGGTTACAATATAAAAATGTTTGTCATAATCATGTCTTGTGATTATTTGACAGGAGTTTTACTTTCAAACTGTAAGTGTATTTAATTTAGTTATAATGCTAACACAATATAAATTAAACCAAGATTTAGAATAATTATCATTTTGATCTGTATGGTAATGTGTGACTGGGCCTCGTGTCACTTTATGTTGAAACAATTGGGCCCCGAGGTCAAAAAGGTTAAGAACCTCTGTTTAAGCAAAACAATGGATTGTTGTGACTCTGCCTCCCCGTCTGCTCAGGGCCAACATCGTGGTGCAGTGTGAGGGCTGGTGGAACCTGGCCAAGCAGTTCGCCAGCCGCAGCCCGCCCCTCCACCTGCTGTCCAGCTCCGTGCAGAGGTCCCTGATGAAAGCTCTGGTCCTGGGGGGCTTCGCCAACATGGACTCTGACACCAAGCAGCAATACTGGGCAGAGGTAAGAAATGTGGACAATGAGTAAGAGTCAATGATGCAGACAAATATTAGAAAGCTACTCATTCAGTAAAAACTTTAAATTTACAGAAGTTTGTGTCCTTTCTCGACTTTGCTTTTACCAGCTGTGCACACACAGCTGGGTGTGTCCTGAGTGAAAAGCTGCAGGTAGACTCACCTAAAAGTCTGTGAATACATCAAAGTTAAAAAGATTTAGCTTATTTTTCTTCATCTCCTCCAAATTTTGCCTTCGATTTACGCTGTACCTCCTGTACTTTTGGAACTCTGAACTTTTCTTTAGTGTGAAACGATGACATAATGTAACTAATGAAAAGCTGGGCTGTCTGTTGGCGTTTGTATCTACCCTGGAGGAGTTTTTATAATCTAAGCACATATATATATGATGCTGTGTTCACATGGAACACAGTTGAAGCATCAGGTTTACATGCAGAGTCTACGGTGGACATGTGTCAAGGAGCGCTGGTATGTGACGTAGCACATTTTCCTACTGGCTGGTCTCCTGAATGATGTCCACTAATCCGAGACAGGCGGACAGGAGCTCTTTAGCTGAAATCGAGTGCCTGTAGTCATGTGCTGGCTGGAGATATCAGCACCAATGCGGGTCTGAGGCTCATCAAACTGGACTTAGGACAAAAATAGTTATTTTATTTATTTATTTTTTTGTCACTTCAGTAGAAAACGAAACTAAATATTAGTTTATTTAGTTTATTTCTTCATCATC